TTGTCTATATTCACTATGTCTTTCTGCATGCCGAGTAGTATATTGACTTTTTTCTGTTCGTTCTCGTTGTATCATATCTTCATTTACTTTGTGGCCAAGTGATTCCTTATAAGCTATTAACACACAGTCTTTACGCCCATTAATCTGTTTATATGTTTCGTTACTTCTGCCAGTACTATAATGTCCAAAGTTATCATTTTCATTTTCTTGAAAATTAATTTTAGCTGATTGTTTTAAAAAGTCAAATATTCTTCTTAGCCCATCAGGTGTTATTACTTCTTCTTTTCTAATATTTTGGTTGTAAACGGCTATATTTCTTTGTTTTCTATTCGCCAGCATTTTTATATCAGCAAGGCCCAAAGCTCTATCTTTGTCTTTAATTTCTTCTGGATAATCTTCACATATTTTTTTAGGGTTCTTTATATTATTTTGTAGATCTTCTCTTCTGGAATAATTATAGAAGGTAGCGACTAGTGTTTCATTTCGCGCAAAATGGATTCAAATAAGTGCTGTGTTTGTTGTGGTGGCCGTCTTATCGCAGATAGTGACGGGAAAATGTATTCCTAACTAGTGGGCCCCTCCACTCTCTGGAATGAACAGAGAAAAGAACCACTAAAAAGCGAAAGAAAAAATTGAAGACTATTATTAACCTCAAAATTGGTCACATTCTGCCAAATCCAGCGAAATCCGATTCATCGGCCGGAATATGTCGAATCCGGTCTTATCTTTTCCAACATCTTCCGGCACGGATTCTGAGCAACGGATTTCCGGTATGGTTGCTGCCGAATTTTCCGACAACTTCCGGCATGTTCCGATGTTGAAGGTTCCGTCAGGATCCTGACACTGCGATCGACGACCTGGGTATGTGGTATGCGGACATGGGATCAAGCATGTGTGCCGATTTTTCGGCGGCGAATCTCCAAATTTAAGTAAAACAACGTTCTCTTTCATTTCTGGCATCTTCTTCGCGCACCAACCATATCTGTACGTTGTCGTATAAGGAAGATAGAAAAGCGCTGCACGCTAAGGGAGCATTTCAAAATATATTCCAGTCGACCGGTCGCCGAAACTTGAGAATACTGATGTCTCATGCGACAATAAATAGTCCAGAATATGTTTACTGAATTCCTCATGGTTGAAAACCTATAATAGAGCCTTGTTTCCATATGAAAATACGTTTTTTCTATTAAAATATCACTGCGTATATAAAAATACATGTCGTACATGTCTACGCTCACAACATACGCAAAAATCTATGACGAACTATTATTATGTTTCTTTCAGCATGAAGAGATAATTGATAAAACATGTTTTTCATTTCGTAAACTTGCTTCACGTGTTTCTTAAAATCTCTTTTTTCTACTACAGCGTTTCGTACTTTCAAGATATCTCCGTCATTTTTCGAGCTAGAAATTTCGGGTTGGTTTTCACGAATGTTTTTTCTATATCGTTACAAGTTGGCTTTGTACCAAACAAAACCATCGCAAGAACAAAGGTAAACAGGAAGCTAGATTGTTGTGTTGCTGTTGGAGAAAAATGCCCGACAAATTGTTTTCCTTCCGATGCAAAGCCCAAATTTCAAATAAAAATACAAGTAAAAGTGGTGAGACAGAAAATGATCATGAATATAATAGAGAATTTTCATACGTATAAATGCATTTTGAATATTATTAGGAGGGATTGCCTACTATTAGGAGAATTGCTCTAATTCTCGGACAACTTAGGAATGTTGTTTTTTTTGTCTTCCGAAGCAGATGCGATGTTGGTTCGAGAACGTTTTTCGGGGTTTTGTACTTCAGAGAGCTCCAAAACACCAGAAAACATTTTTCTGTTACAGCTAACAATTATTATTCACTCGTCCTATACGACTAAGTTTAGTCCATCGACATTTCACAATTATCTACATAAAATTTTTTGTCGTCAACTATTCACTTTTCGTATTGAACGTATATTCACTATTGTACTTCTTAAAAATTGTTAAATTATTGTTATCATTAGCACGTATTATGTCTTAAGAAATAAATAAAGATCCGTTTGAATTTTCTGATCCACCATCAGTAGCATCTAACGATGAGCACTATGAAATTAACAATAAGCTGTATGTTAATACAAGAGAAATTATTCATAAAACAGAAACATCACGTTCGAAAATATTGAATATTATTGAAGGAGGAGCATTATCGTATGAATATGCAGTTGAAGGTGCTGCACAACAAATTCAAATAGTTACACAAAAGGTAATAAAGGATTTTTCATTCATAAGGCTGATGTAGATAAAATTAACATTACGAGCGTTATAAGACTTTCTCAGAAACTCACGACTAGTAAAGGGTAGTGGTCTATTCGCTTGTGCACAAAATATTACAGAAACGGACACTTTACAGAAATAGTGATAAATTATCACTAGGTTTTCAACCATGAGGACTTCAGTAAACACATTCCGGACTACAAGCGTCATTTACTGTCGCATGAGACATCTGTATTCTCAAGTTTCCATGCTAAAAATTAATAATTTTCAAAAGAAAAGGCAAATATTTATTTTATCATCATGCACAGGTCACTAGTTTCGATGGGATAGAGTAAGATACACGGAAAGCAGACTTCGAGTTTACAAAAGCTTGTATAGTTGTTACACATCATTCGATAGAGAATTCAACACTGATCACAAATATCATAGCTCCGCCTCCTAAAACACTTTCCTCGCTAAGATACACTTGAAATACTATCTAATATCTTGACTCGACTCGACTTGACTCGAAAACACTGGTGACTCGACTCGGACTCGGGAAGTAGCTTGACTCGCCTATCTCTGCTTTCTATGTTTAAATCATTCCGGGTCTGACTGTGCTGACAAAAGTAGAATCATTTTTTGTCGACGACTACAGGTAAAATTGAGGCAGCTGTCAGGTATATGAGCCAATTGCAACTTTATTGTAACTTACAACTTTTTATATTGTTTCTTGGCTGTAAACGGCGTTTGGATCGGATAAGTTGTTCAAAAGTTATGAGCCTAGAAAAATCGAAAATGTCGATCTACAAAGTGTCCGGAATTGACATTTTCGGTTTTTTATAGATCTAAAAGAGGCACTTCGTAAAAACTTTTTACATAGATAGGTTTTCCGCAAAACGCTCTTTCTTATGGTCACTTGGTTTTTTCGAAAAAATCTCAAATGAAGTCCCTAGGTCGTTTTCTTGGTCGATCTACAAAGTGTCTGTAAAAGTGTTTTCAGCCGTAAACAACATGAAAAAGTAAACAAAAACATAAACAAACTACGTCATCGGATAGAGAATTCTGCGCTCTACAAAACGTATCACTCACATTTTTATTTTGCTCAGTTCTTCGATTGAGAAAACACGTTTTCAATCCGATGAGTCATTCAAAAAACGGGTATTTTTAACTCTTGATGCCCGTATCTTCGCGAGTTTTTGAAATTTCTCGATGAAATTTTCCAGAATGTCTGGGTAAGTATAGAGGAGTAGAACAAAAAAAAGCTTTTTGAAATTCGTCCACAGGAACCAATTCTGTGGGGAAAATAAGCAAAAATGCCAATTGTACAATAAAGTTGTAATTGGCTCATATGCCCAATACATCTGAAGACATTAGTTTGAAAAGGTGTGCTACATATCATTTTAAAGCCCGTTTAATTACGCATATCTTCGTGTATAAGATTCTATTAAGAACGTCAGGCTTTCAGAGAAAAATGAGTAAATACGGTCGAACAGACTTTCTGGACAGTTGCTCAGAAATGATTAAAAACTTCAGCATATGGTAGTCTACAATCAACTTTTAAGGCGCAGAAAAATTACAAATTAAATAACGAACAGTTTCTGATCAGTTCCAGTCGTTATTTTCTCAAAAATATATAGGGCGGTTTTCCGTCCGTTGTCCTTTAGCTAATTTTAACTGGAAAACAAGTGGCAGAAAAAGTGTACACCAAGTAGGGATGTTCGGTTCTCGGTTCTCGTTAAGAATCGGAACCGCGGTTCGGTTCTGCAGAAGGAACCCGAACCGCGGTTCTCTTGCTTTCGGTTCTTCATCGGGAACCGGAACCGTGCTACCGGTTCTAAGAATGGAACCGGAACCGCGGTTCTCTTGTTTTCGGTTCTTCGTCGGGAACCGGAACCGCGGTTCTTTAGACGGTTCCTTTTTTTCGGAACCGAGGCTTTTTTAACTATAGATACTACAGTTTTATTTCGAGAAAGCTATATTTAGCGTTCATAAGGTATACTTGTGTGCAACTTCTTTTACATGAGATCTTCTATACCTGGCAATCCCATCGATACTTCTTAGATAAGAGATAAAGCTAATATTATTATGTCGTGATACTGGCCATAACGGCACGAAAAAATCCTTTTTCAAGATTTCATTTCGTTTTTGAGATATTGCATTTTTCGTACATCTAGCAGATATCGTGTAAAATGACCCCCTAGAAAGTCCTTCAAAGATCTTGAAAATATTTGTGTTAAATTCTACTATAGAAGAAAATTGTCCTTGTATGAATTGAAAGTTATATTTGTATATTAGTCGTCAGAGGAGTGCTACTAACAAAAAAATTAAGCTGCAAAAAATTAATAACCTTGCAGCTTGCGTGCAGTTGTTATAGTTTATCTTTTAAAAACATAGAGAATTTTACTGCGTCACGTTTCATGTTTCCTCTGTTATGTAAAAGATTTCCAGAGATACTAAATGCGCTCTCTGAAGCTACACTGGTGCATGGAATGCATAGTACACATTTTGCTAACATTCGAATATTTGGCAATAAATGTCCATTCTCTTTATAAAATCCATTTAATTTTTCTTTTGGTTGCTTTTTTAATAACAATTTGAATTTATCATATTCATTTATTAGTGGATGTGTTGGCTGTAGTGTTGTGTCAGCTTGTTGGATACCTGTTTGTATCAATAGATCTTCAAACGTAGACAACTCATTTCCACTAGTAGTTAGGCGATCTTTAGTCCGTTTATCTCCATCACATTTACTTATTATTGGTTTAAATTTTTATTCAATAAATAGTTCGGTTAGAAATTGTTCAGCTTTCAAGATGTCTGCGTTTGTAAGTGCTAAATGTTGCTTTGGTTCAAGATATGCACAAGCCTGAACGAAAATTGTATTACTACATGTTTTTCATGCATTGAAGATAAAGAGGTGTACGTACTCTCATTAAACAATACTGCTCATTTGTTTCGTTCGGAGGAAAGTAACGGTTCAAATACGCTAACAATAACTTTTTCGTTACTTTCATATCAGCTGAATCATTTGATTCACTTGTATTTAATAAAACCCGAAGTGCTCGTAGAGCATTATATGCTTTCGACAACGTTGGATAATAAGATCCACTAAGTTCTTTAACTACCTAAAACATTCAAAAATTATACCTTTCACTGAGAAACCGATTTAGGCGATAAAGATTTACACTAGAGTTGTTGGAAAGGATTAAGTGATATGTGGATACTCACAATTTTGAATGGTTTTAATAATTTATGTAAATCACCAATCATAGACCATTCGAATGTTGTTAAATAAATTTTGGCGACTTTTTTCGTATTTTGTTTATTTGTATCATTTAATATGGCATTAATATGATTTTTTAATGTAATTAGACGATCGATCATCGAAAACGAACTGTTCCATCGTATCGGACAATCAATAATTAATGAATGACATCTTAATGTTTTACCAATTCTTTTTTTCAAATATCCGGTTTGTTTAGTGGATCTTCGAAAATGATTCACAAGTTTGCGACATTTAAGTAAAACATTAGTAATAGATGTGATAACTTCTCTGGCATCATCTAGTGTTAGTTCTATTTCTTCACTACTGCGATCATTGTTGTTATCTTCATTATGATCGGATTCCGAACTAAAATCTGTGGATGATGAATTCATTATTTCTTCACTAGATTCACAACCACTTTTATTTTGGTTATCATCTTCCGTCGTTTGTTCTAAGTCGGTATTATCGTCAGAATATTCAGTAGAATATTGTAAATCATCTGTTCCAGAGTTACTTGCTATTCTAAAACGATGGAGCAAAGTTTTTCGATAGTTATAGAAGAAAGTACCACTGGTCTGTTATAATTTATTCATTTTGTACTTTTTTGTCCATGACAAGCGTCCACTTGAAGAAAATAAGCTTACTTTTTTAATAGAAATGCTTCAATAACAGCATCAGAATAATTCTTATTTTTGGCTTGTTTTGGTCATAATCGTAATGCATTACATATTGTTAGATGTAAACCATGAGCTACGCAATAAATTGGTTTAATAACATTTGTTGTCTGCAATATAGTACACGTATTTTTCACGTTCGCAGCTCCATCAGTTGTCATCGTAAATGTTTTAGACTCTAAATTTAAATTTTCTAATTCTTTCTTTATTTTTGATGCATACCGATCAGCCGTGTGACTTCCATTAAAACTTTTGAACGACAATATTGTATGTTTAATTCGATCAAGATTATCATCTTCGAAATAATGTCCGGTTATAATGGAATATAACGCGACTACAAAACTAAATTAAGTCAAAATCTGTGTTCACCCAAATGAAGTTGAGTTAGGCTTTGATTAACTTTTAATGCATGACTAAATATTTCAATGTCCACATGCGTTAATGCTTTATTCGATAAACTAATTTCAGATGGTGTTATATTGTGTAGTAATTGATTTTTATCTTGATGTTTATTATTGCTTTTACAACTTAATTGGTAATGTTTTTGATATTTGTTCATATGCTATTGTTGATACTGTAGAAAAGAAAGAAAAGACGGCGTTATCGAATTTTCCAGGTAACTGTTGAGTAGATATTATATAGAGTAAACTGTTCGAGTAAATCTGTTCTACAATTATGTGCTGGACGGACTTAAAAAACGCTTCTCAGAAAAAATATGCGTATATTTTGTAGGAGAAGAAAAATAGTTTTGGACTTAATTAACAAATGTGTATTTTTGTGTATGTGCAGCTCAAATAGTGACCACTAGCCATGAAAACCGTTTTCTTTTTTCGTACAGGCGAGTTCTGTACACGGTTTTCTTCAGAATTGTGCACGGTTTGCTGTTTTCCGTGTACTAAAAAATATTTTGACATTTTTGTGCACAGTTACACAAGATGCATGGAAAAAAGGTATAATGTAAATATAAAAGGTAGGTAAATAAATAATTTTATTATATAATATTAATAAAAGGTAGGTCCCGGTTTTTGAAGAACGAGTTTTATCAGCGCTTTTGTCACGATTATTTGTATCACTTGTCGACACAATTATTTCATTTTGAAAATTAAACAGTACACGAACTTGAAAAGCTGGATATTTCTACTTGACGAACAACTATATGTGACTTCAGTGCCATCTTTCACATTTTACATTCGTAATTTTGATACTTGATTATGATTTAAATAAATGTCCAAATTATCTTTTTCTAAAAGATTATTAACAAAACTCCAAGCTTTTCTTGACATAATTTTTGTTTAAAGAAGAAATATTTAGAGTGTATTCTGAACGGTATGGGTTGAATTAATTCTCAAAGAGATGATTCATCAGGTGGACTTCAAAAAGCAAGTATTAATACACGCTACACCAATTTTCAAAATTTATCATACATTTCAGTCACTAAATACCCTGGAAAAGTACATAGACGTTTTTGTATTAAATGAGACATCTGTTCATCTATCATCTTATTTGTTTAGGTGACAAATATGTCTAAACTTCGTCGTTGTCAGTTTTCTGTCGGGACATTCTTTGCAGAACTCCTGTCATTGAGAAACGCATATAATATCCTGAGATACCATCGGTTCAACTGACCTGATACCACTCTTGTATTTCTAAAAATCAAGTCTAATAAGGAGATGCGAACGATCAAAGTGGAAAAATTACCATCCTCTGATAGCTTTGTCAATTGTTGGTACTGCTTAACCACTAGAAATGTATGAAATGACGTATAAAGTTTTATTTAAAACTGTTTTTGAACAGCTCACATTTCTTATCTAATTTATTTGAGGTAGATGTCTTATTACCCATAGATAGTAACTGATTAATTTCGATCAGTAAGAGGTAACCACGATGCAAGCTATCTAAAAGAAGAGACCTTTAAGAATCAGGTTATCGACATCGAGCCACATTTATGTCGTATCTTTCGTTTTCGAACCTTTTGTTTCTAGGTAACTGCATAGAACATACAACTGACCTGAAATAATACTTGTAATTTCTAATTTTTCTTTTGTCAACGTAATTTTTTCAAAATATTCGTGAAAATGAGTTCATGGGAACTCGAAACGTTGAATTATGGTAATAAAAACATTTCAGAAGCCGTTGTTATAAATACAACTAATAAGATGCCTCTTACACGACATAACCTGGTGTTTCATTAAGAGAAGTACATCTTTTTTGCTGCAGAACCCGCGAGAACTACATCCTTTTTCCTCAAGAACTTGGTGCCTTGTCACGAGAAGTTCATCCTTTCGCCTCAAAACTAGGTGTTTCTTCACGAGAACTGCATCCTTTTGCCTCAAGAACTTGCTGTGTCCGCACGAGAACCACATCCTTCTTCGTTAACAACTTCGTGTTTCTTCACGAGAACTATATCCTTCTTAATCAAGAGCTTTGCGACTCGTTACGAGAACTACATTTTTCTTCCTGAAGAACTTCGTGTTTCGTTACGAGAACTACATTCTGTTTCCTCATGCACTTGTTTGTCTCATGCTGGTGTTTCTTCACGAGAACCTCATCTTCTTTGTAGGACAACTTGGTGTATCTTATTGCTATCCCCAAGAAAAAGAAGAACTAAGATTGATAGCAGAAGAATGGAATATACGTAGGTCTGTGAGTGAGTTAAGTAAAAAATGGTGCAAAGTTAGACCGGATAGTTCTGTTGACAATCTCACTTTTCTTGTCTATAATGTTGAGGGACTCAGTACACATATTGCAGACATTGATATTCTAATTTCTATCCAGATGCCACATTTTTGTATTCTAACAAGTATAGGTGCACAGATCCGAAATCTTCCAAAAATACCCTCATTTTATTGGATAAGCCAAGAAGGTACTAATTCTTTCGGTGGAGTAGCAATGTTATTCACAATTCTTTGAAAACAAAAATTATAGACAGGGCAGACAATTTTCTACTTATTAATCTAGAAGTTACTCCAGAACCAGTATTGATAGGAGCAGTTTATTCTCCACCTAAAACAAAACCCCCGTTAGATCTGTTTCAACAATGTTTGGGAAGACGGTTTTTTGTGTTCGGAGACTATAATGCTAAGCGTTCTGAGTGGCGGTGTGACAGTAGTAATGAGAGTGGTAACATGCTAAAAAATTGGTTGGAGGAAAATGGATGTGTGATGATTTTTCCTAATAAACCAACATACAGATATTCAAAGGCAGTCATTGATTTTGGAGTAACAAACGATTGCTCAGGATGAACCGCTGAGGTGTTAGATGAGGGGATTTCCGACCATTTTCCAGTTATATGTTCTTCTCCGTTTTCTGCAAATGAAAACAAAGTTTTTCGTAAAGCAAACTGGAAAATGTTTTCGTGTTTTTTACAATTAACTTTTCAATATTGGAATTCAGTCGTTTACAATTGGGACGAACAAACTTTCTTCTCTATTTTTTCAAATTTTCTGGCTTCTCTGTGGGACAGAACCAGTGAATGGATATCGATCAAACAATATAGACCTCCTTGGCCAGCATATCTTGTTGCATTGGCTAAAAAAGTGAACAAATTACGAAGGCGCTATCGCAGATCTCGTTTTTTGACTCATCTCGATGAATACCTTTTTTGGAAAGACGTGTTTCGGACTACGAACAAAAGAAAAGAGAGAAAAAGATGATGTGGTTGAAGGACAAAACATATGGAAATATGCGAGACCTACATTTCATCCATATACACCTGCCTTTCGAGGGATCAGTACTCCGACTGGAATAGTTAAAGATAATCAAAAAATCGCGGATATATTAGCAGACTTCTATGAAAACCATTTAAAGCACATCTGCACAATACGAATAACCCTCACCATTTACGACCGGTCGAATTATACGACCAGATTTCATACGTACCAAATATATCACTTTCTAAAATTTCTTTCGATGAGGTACAAAAGCAATGGCAAAAATTCAGGCCCAGAAAATCATCAGATTCGGTCGGTACATCAGCTTTTTTACTAAAAAAGCTTCCACCAGAATATCTAAACATAATCACAATTTTATTTAATAAATGCGCTGAAAAAGGAGGTTTTTTTGAAGGAGCAAAGCATGCAAAAGTAGTTTGTTTATCAAAAGAAGGTCTATATCCGCAGGAAAATCGACTCCGCCCTATCTCTCTGCTTCCCAATATTGGAAAATGGTTTGAAAGGATTGTTCATCAACGTATTTTAAATTGGTGTTACGAAAAGGGTATCTATGTTGATGAACAATCAGGTTAGGAGGCTGCAAACACGGATATTATCTTTATGCGAAGATTTAAGACTAACAATTGCTGCTAGTAATCGTCCAGCATTAATAATTTTCGTGGACTTTATGACTGCCTTTGATGGGATGTGGCTTCCAGCTCTGATAAGTAATTTATTACAACTGGAAATGCCGCTGGAACTGGTCCGGTGGATTTATCTGTGGCTGCAGAATAGATCTCTCTCAATCTGCCACGGTGAAGCTAGCTCAAGAGTAATAAAACTTTTTGTGGGAACTCCTCAAGGTTCAGTACTTGCTGCTACATTATTCCGCCTTCACATCCATTTTCTTCCTAAATATTTCATGCAACTAGTCACACATTTATTTGCGGACGATCTGGTCCTTGTTTTTTTCGGATCATTGGAGAAGCGTTTTTCTGTGAATATTGAGGAATTAGAACAACGGGCTAGAATAGCGCTAGATTCATTAGCTAAATTGGCGGATGATATCATTCTACCGGTTAATGTATCAAAAACAAAGGCAATGCTCATCCACAGTGTAGTTGCTCCTCAATATCCATATTTAGAATACAAAGGAATTAAAATTGACTTTGTAAAAATTTTCAGATATCTGGGTGTTGAGATATGTTCAAAATTAGGATGGGGAGTTTTCATTCAAAATCGTTTAAAAATAATCAGGAATATATACAACGCGTTGCGAGTTCTATTTCGTTTTATCCCAAAAAAAGATATCAAATTAAGAAGACAAATTTTCCTTGCTTTCGCACTTCCGCATTTTATTGGGTATTCATTACCTGGCTCTTCTTCACAGAAAAACAACACGACCTCATAGAACATGTTTATGCAACCGGTTTACGAATCATCTACGATTTACATGGATGGGATGACTTAACTACACTGGTGTTGAGTAGAGATTGTTCGTTAAGAGATTATATTTTTAAGTACTGGAAAAGATTTACTAAACATCTAGAGAAAGCCCTAGAAGCAACCCAATATCAACACACACGGTGTGCTTTTCTGGCGGTAACGTCTCACCAAAAGGAATGGTATAAAAATCTTGGTTTTAGGAAAAATAGCAAATTTTTAAACCGTATGCGTATAAATGCAAGGCATAGCCACACGGACTGGATAATTTTCGAGAATATTCAAAGCAAACAATATGGATACTTTAGAAGAAATACACAGATGCTAGAGTTTTTTGCGTATAAATACTTTCTTCAACCCCCGTAAACCTCTCGATACTCAATAAGATAGTTAAGATAGTTAGAGAATTTTAACACGGTACAGTTATGCATTATCACTATTAAAGTTAATCTTTTTCTTTTCTTTGTTTTTTAATCTGTGAATTATAAAATCGAGCTGTTTTATTTTTCACACAATTGTTAACCCTTTTGGAACAAATAAACTTATTACCAATGTTAAAAAAAAAAAATATTTGTTTAAATTATAAACAACCAAACATAGGAAAATACTGATATTTTTTATATTCACTACAGTGTACATCTACCACTCATTTTTAGTTTTATTTCTATCATTACCTTATTTAATATTGAGTAGTTTGTTTTCACGCTTCTTCTACTTCTACGGATGAAAAGAGGCATAGATTTCATACACACATAACACTATCCTGTAAGCTATAGAATGGAAGGAAAACTATCAACATACACACATACAAGTGAATGATAGATACATAAAGAAGAAAATGAATATTGATATATCTCTTTTCATCC